CATAACTTTCTTATGTACATATATGGATACACAACCAGTGTAATGCCATATTATGTACAACTACAAGAATGGGAAGTTATACTCCATGTATGTATGATAGGCCAAAATACATTCTACTGTCATGTATATCTAAGAAGAAATCAAATAATAGAAAGGAAGGAAGAAAGAAAATACAAAAAGTGCTGGGAATGTGGCTCAGTGGTTAAGCACCCCTAAGTTAAGTCCCTAGTACCAAAAAAGAAAAAAGAAAAAAAAAAAAAAAAACTAGTTTCAATAATAGAGAAAGCATGATGGCACATGCCTGTAATTCCAGCAACTTGGGAATCTGAGGCAGGAGGAGCATAAATTCAAGGCCAGTCTGAGCAACATATCAAGAACCTGTCTCAAAATTTAACAAAAAAGGGGCTGAGGTGCCTCAGCAGTAGAGTACTCACTTAGCACGTGTGAGGCACGGAATTGGATCCTCAGCACCACATAAGAACAAATAAATAAAATAAAGTTATTGTGTCCAACTACAACTAAAAAAAAATTAACAAAAAAAATTTAAAGGGCTGGGGAAAAATGACAAATTTAATTTTTAGCAAAATTATTTTGCTAATACTTTGCTAATACCACTTCTCCGCTCCCCCTCTCCATTTCTGATACCATTTCTTGAATTTTGATCTTTAAAGTTTAGCATGTGCTACGGTTAGAATGTTCAGGGTCCCCCAAAAGTTCATATCTAAAGGTTTGGTCTATAGGGTGGCCACACTGGGAGGCTCTGTGGACCCTGGGGTCTGTCTGTCTCTGCATGATGGTTCAAAAGGTAATTAAGTGCTTGCTCCCTAGTACTCCTGCCATTGTCATTCACCATGTGCCATAAGTATCAAGGGTGAGCCTTTACTAAGCCTTTCACTGTTTGGGCTTGGAACTTTCAAAACTGTGAACTAAATAAACATTTGTTATAAGTTAGCTGCCTCAGGGACTATGTGGCAGTAACAATTACTTACTAATATAATGTGCAACAAAATCACAGTAGTTTGTTACACCATAGACTTGCTGGGTTCTACCACTAGTTTCAGATTCAGTAAGTCCAGGGCAGACTCAGGAGTCTGCATTTCTAATCCATTCTCAGATAATAGGGGTCCAGGACACACACTTTGAGAATCACTGACCTAGCACAACACAAATATTAGCAAGATCTTGAGACTTGCTCACACATGGTACAGGCAATACTGCCTTGATTAGCTTTCCCTTGCATCTTTACCTAATAACTTTGAAAACCTGTCCCTACATACCTTCTCCCTCCCTCAAACTACTGACTCTGACATTTTAAAAGCCTCTAATGACTTCCTAGTTTCCCAAACCACTGGAGTCTTCATCTCCATTTTTATCAACCTTTCTATAACACTTTGTTTTAGCAACCTGTTTGGTTCCTAATTCTGTCCTGTATTGGCTCCCATGGTTCATTTTTTATCTAACCATATTCTCAGTGTCTTTTATGGGAGCTTCTCAAAACTTGGTGGGATTTTGTTTGTTTGTTTTTGTTTTTTGGGTTTGTGTGTGTGTGTGTGTGTGTGTGTGTGTGTTGTCGTTATTGTTGTTTTTAAAACTTCTGAGGATGAAAAATTATTACCATAGTTCTTAAGCAAGGAAAGACCCTTTCCTGAATTACAAGCTGAGATGTACACCAAAGAAGGAGAACATTTTTCAAAGTCTTTGGATTAGGGATCGTGCTTACTGCTCTTCTGATATGTAGGCTTCCTTGTAGAGTAACAGAAAATCTTTTTCCTTAGTATCCTAAATAAAACAAAAGTACAGTATAAATAGATTTCAGTATCAGCCCACAATTTCTGTACCAGGGAAGGTAATAAAATGATTGACTACCCCTTGCATAGGCACAGGAATGAAGAGGTCACAGAACTCATCTAGAAAATGTATCACACCGGAATTGACAGGGAAAAGCACATGAAATTTTTTGACCAGTCTCTGTATCTTGTGCTGTAAAATTTCTATAGCAATGCAATGTAAAAGAATGAGAAAAGGAGCTGGGCACAATGGCTCACACCTGTAATCCTAGCAACTCAGAAGCTAAGAAAGGAGAATCACAAGTTTAAGGCCAGACTCAGCAACTTAGCGAGACCTGTTTCAAAAAAAAAAATTTTTTTAATGGGGTGGGGGGCTAGGAATATAGTTCAGTGGTAAAGAAATGGTCAGGCCCGATAAAGGAGATGGTCCCAAGTTTGACAAACTTCCTATATTCCCCTTAGCATCCCTCCTCCTGGCACAGCCTTCCCATGAGTGTTCCCCACATTTCTACCCAGATTAACTCTCAAAGTTCATCTTTATGGGAATTACTTTAAAACATTAGACTTTGTCCTCACTTTTAGCCAGGTCATCTCCATTAGAAATTTTCAGCAATTACACCTCAAATCACCTCAAGCTAATGTGTGAATCGCCTAACTTTAATGTGCCCTCCATCACTACATTTTATGATTGCATCTAGCCTTTAACACCCCCTTTGTTCCAAAGGGCTCTCTGTCCTGTCAATCTTCATCTGTCACTGGCAGTTATAACTCTTTACCTCAGAACTTCAGGGTCACTGCTGAGTCCTCCCTCACTCACCAAGTCCCAAAGAATGGATGAGACCCAAAGATGAGCACCTTAATGCACTCTTTATATCTTTCATCAGTTTAGTGCTATGAACAAAGCATTCACTCAAAAAGGAAGTAATCTAAGAAGTATTTTTCTAATTATGGTTCCTGATTCCAGCCTCCCCTCTCCATCCCCAAAATCACTAACTTTATTTAACCCTACATTATTCTCCCCAAAACTATTCCAACAGCCTACTATTTAGTTACCTTTTCACCAATCTTGCCCCATTTCAACCCATACTCCATAAGTCAGCAGTTTCTTTCCTAAAAGTAATGTCACTCCTCAACTTATAAAAAAAAAAAAAAACATAACTCAAAAGATAAAGACTACAGTGGGTGCGGTACAACATGCCTGTAATCCCAGCTATTTGGGAGGCTGAGGCAGGAGGGGTGGAATATGGAGGCCAGCCTGGGCAATTTAGACTCTGTCTCAAAATAAAATAAAATGGCCCAGAGATACAGCTCAGTTGTAGGGCACCCTGAATTCAATCCTGGAGATTAAAAAAAAAAAAAAAAAAGATAATGTTCACACTTATTATTTGATATCCACAACTCATGATCCAGTCCAAATTGCTTACCTCTCCAACCTCATTTCACCACTCTGCCATTTATCTTATAGAGTCTGGAAAGCTACTACCTCCTTCCACCTTCCCTACTCCCTAATCTAAATAACTTTTAGCCTTACTCCAGGAGGACTGCCTTGGTGCTCCCTTTGAACTAGCACTTGTTATACTGTATCATAATTATGTACTATGTTTGAACTTTCTCTTAAAGGTGACCCCTATAGCTAGAACCCTGCCTCACTCAATGGACCCTGGCATAATGCTCACAGGTAGTCCATTAAGTATCTGTTAAACACATTTGTATTACTAAAAGAATAAAATCTTTCAAAGTTTTTTAATTACTTTATGAGGCTATAAAATTATTTGATCAATGTAGTAACTGCTCAAAACATTTTTGCAACTCCTCTTTTGCCATTTGGAATTGCTTTCTGAGCTTGTTTACTCTCCAAAAAAGAAAATCAGTCCCTTTATACCCACAAAACATTTTCAACCAAATATAGTAGAGGCAACTTTGAGCACTGCCATCCTCCACCCTACCCCCCCTTCATTGTATGGATTGGCTCCAAACTTTTGGTCCTTTCAAACAAGGAAATTCTCCTTCAAAGGATGAAAACTTGCCTTCACTGACACTGTGTCACAGGATCTTAAGATGATTTCAAATGGTAATGCAAGAAAGTTTTGCAGTTGGAATATGCGTAGTGCCTCAAAGGGCTCCTATTTGATGGTGAAGACTTAAGTGTTTATGTTTAGATACGGGTTTTATTTTTCAAAAATATTTCCTTTCACCTTGCTGAATATCTGTTGAATGAAATCCTAAGGGGGGAGGGGGGGAGGGGAATGGTGCATCTCAATTTCTCCAAACTGTAAAAAGGAGGCTAAGTCTTCCCATTGACTCCATGAATGCCAAGATCACTGAAAATTCAGCTTAATGACTGCTGAATCAATTTCCAAAGATCAAAGCACTTTAATAACTTCATTAAAATATTAAGGCAGAAACACCCTACCCAGAAACTGCACCACCCTTGTCCAAGGAAGGAGTTCCACCATTTAAGACTGATGCTGTAAACACGACAAAGGAGCAGGTCCCTATTTTGCTTAATTCAACATGTATGGAGCAACTGCTGGTTGTTCTGTCCTATTCCTGGTGAATGAGAGGAGAGGAGAGAGGGAGGGAGGGAAGGAGAGGGAAAGTGAGGAGAGAGGGAGAGAGGGGGAGAGGGCACAGCCCTAGTACTCAAGCTGCAAGCTGTCAAAATCATTCCAGACAACATCTTGCGAGAGCACTGAATACATTCATAGCCATCCATCTCTAGTGAGGCAGTTTACACGAATGACACTATTTACCCTCCCAAATCGATTTAGGGGCAGAAATGGCTCTTAATCATCCCTAAAGGAAGGGAAGAACAACGGTAGATCTTCCCCATCACTTGGTATGGGAAAAGTGAGGAAGCAGCTAGGGAAGGGGTGGTCCAAACCTTTCTCTTCCCCTCAGGGCCAGCACCAGAGGCAGAAGCCTGGATTTCTGACATCCCAGTGCCAAGCCCTCTAGTTCAGTAAGAAGGAACAATCAAACTCCAGCTCATTTCTGCAGAGACGCACACAGACCCAGCCACCGCCCGGCCCCATCTCGTGGGAGCTGCAGGTAGAGGCAAGGTAATGGTGGACAGAGAAGGTGGAGGGGAGGGGCGGGGAGGGGCGCGCTCGCGTCCCCCTCAGCGGTCCCCCTCCGTCCCGACAAGTCGCTGCCAAGGCAACCCAAAGCCGCAGGGCCAGGGACCCCTTACTCCCCGCCCACGATGGGTACCTTCGAGTACTCCTGAGCCAGCTTCTGGTACTTCCCCTGCAACTCTGCCGAGGCCATGGCCTCCCCCGCCCCGTCCAGGCCAGGCTGTCCAGGCCGCTCAGTCCCGCCCCCCGCCCCCAACCCCAGACCCGCTCCAGGGCACGGCTCAGCCAGCGTCTGCTGCTCGGCCACTGCCGCCGCGCCTCCTCCTCCGCTTCCGGGTTCTCGGGGAGGGAGGAAGGCGGAGTGGGACCGGGGGCGGAGCGACCACCGGGGGCGTGTCGACGTCTCGACGTCACCGCCCCACCCTTACGCCCCCGAGCACGTGCGCGCGCCGTCTCGCTGGCGCGCTAGGATTCTGCCTCTGAGAGCAGAGGGCGCCATCTTGGACCACGCGACAAGATGGCGACCCGGAACGGAGACGGGGCGTATCGAGAAGGGAAGCGACTGATGAGTGTACAGAGTGGGCGGGGGACGGAGAAGTGAGACCGTGGTTGCGAAGAGCAGAGGACCGGAAGAAGAAACATTCTAAGAACATCAAGAATTCTAACCTACCCCGTGCTTCCCAGTTCCTATGGCAACCGACTGGCATTTGATGGTTACCTTGTTCGCAAGGAGCGTGGAGAAAAAGACCTCTGTATTCCGCTATCTGGTTATCCGGAGATGGCAGCACGGGACATGCCCTGCACTGTGACCTATCAGACCTACCCCAAACGTATAACGCTTGCTGCTGCCACTTTCTCTTGCTTCAGACCAGACAAACCCTTACTGTCTTTTTTGTATTTTGATACTGAAATTTCTTTGTGTCGGTTCTGTACCCAAGCCCCACCGCCCGCCCACCCCTGTCCCCGGAAGCACACGTTAGTCTTTTTCAGTGAATTGAGTAAAAGGCCGTTAGGAAATTGCAGATGTTTTCTGCCAAGCATGCAGATAGAGTGGAGTTAACAGTAAAAAAAAAAAAAAAAAAAAAGGAAACAAAAACTAGTCTGCCTGGGATATTTTATGACACTTTTGCTTGAATTACAAACTGCATCCACTCATTCGTTTTAACGTTTTTTAGAATTTTAGTAGGCATTGCATTTCATTGCAACATTGAAATTTTCATCAATAAAGAAATGGATAAATAGATATAGGCTACATATTTGCCATGAATTACAATATGGATATTAAAACTAATGACTAGATTTGTGTGTGTCTGCATTTGTTTGTATCAACAAGGCAAAAGGGCATGTTAAATATAAAAAGAAATTGCATCATACTATAGTATAGGTACATTTTTTAAATAAGTAACATTTGTATTGTTTGTGGACACACAAACATGTACTAAAAATACAGAAACAAGAACTGAAAGGGATACATCAAATTCTGGATACTGGTTGCCTCTAATGAGAAACAGGGTGAGGAAACTGGGAAGAAAGGAATGTAAACTTTACTACGGGGTGTGTGTATTTTGTGTGTGTATTGGTTACTGGGCATTGAACCCAGGGGTGCTTTACCATTGCACTACATCCCCAGTTTTTATTGTTGTTGTTTGTTGTTTGTTTTACACAAGGTTTTGCCAAATTGCCAAACCTGGCCCCAGACTTGTGATGCTCCTGCTTAGTATCCTGAGTTGCTTGGATTGTGCCACCACACCCAGCCTAAACTTTATTTTTATTTCCATAATTTTTAAAGTAAATATGATAGGGTTAACATTTATTATCTAAATAATAGTATAGAGATGTTATATTAGCACTTTAGAATGCTTGAAATTTTTCATGATTAAAAAACTGTTATATGAAAAAATGTTAGACATTAGCAATTAGGGAAATACAAATCAAGAACACATTGAGATTTCATCTCACTCCAGTTAGAGTGGCAGCCATCAAGAATACAAACAACAATAAATGCTAGCAAGGATGTGGGGGGAAAAAGAACACTTTTACATTGTGGGTGAGATTTTAAATTAATACAACCACTATGTAAATTAGTATGAAGGTTTCTCAAAAGACTAGGAATGGAACCACCATATGACCCAGCTATACCTCTCCTTGGTATTTATCCTAAGGAATTAGAAAAGTCATCATACTGTAGTGATACATGCATACCTATGTTTATAGCAACACAGTTCACAATAGCCAAACTATCGAACCAGCCTAGGTGTCTTGTCAATAAGTGAATGGATAAAGAAAATGTGATATATACAATGAAATTTAATCCAGTCATGGTAAGAATGAAATTATGTCATTTGCAGGAAAATGGTTGGAACTTGAGAACATTAAGTGAAATAAGTCAAACTCAGAGAGTGAAAGGTTGTATGTTTTCTCTCATATGGGAAGCTAGAGAGGAAAAAGGAAAAGAAAGGTGTGAGGCTAGGGAGAATGTCATGAAAATCAAAGGGAGATCAGTAGAGTATAAGAAAGGGACCAGGGAAAGGGAGGATAGGAGGAAAAGGGAAAATATAGAGGGATGATATTGGCCAAATTGTATTGTTATATTGTATGCATGTATGAATATGTAACAGTGAATCCTACCATTATGTATAACTATACTGTACCAATAAAAAATATACAAGACGGAGGGAAGGGGAGGGGAGGGGGTATGGGGGCAGGAAAGATGGTGGAATGAGGTGGACATCATTACCCTAGGTAACATGTATGACTGCACATATGGTGCGATGCTACATTGTGTACAACCAGTGAAATGAAAAGTTGTGCTGTGATTGTGTACAATGAATCAAAATGCATTCTGCTGTCTTATATACCTAATTAAAATAAATAACTTTTTTAAAATATGGAAAAGAAAAAAAAAAAAAAAAAAACCTATGTTATCTTGGTGTACTTTGGCTGTAAGCCAGGAATTTTATAGTGAAGGACTAAGGCTATATCCGTTGTAATGTGTAAGAGGATTATAGACTTTGAAATGTTTATAAGTCTTTTTCAAAACGTTAATAATTTTCAATTTGCTAATAATCAAGTCCTACTATCCAAACTTTCAGAACAGTAGTTTTTAAAATTGTTAGTTTTCTGTGGCACCACCAAGTGGCAGAATTAAATATTGTGAATTTCCATTGGTTATAAAAAATGAAAAAAAAAAAAAATTTAAATAACGTTCCAAAGAAAGAATGTGCAAGTTTAGCCAGAGAGCCTGTGTAATCTTGCTAAATTTAGAAATTTCTTTTCCACTGACTAATCTAGTTGTCCTGTCAGATGTATTATTGTAAAATCCCAAATGATAAGTCCAAATACATTAAAATTAAGAATCTCTTTCTCAAAAGACCTCACTAAGTGAAAAAAATATAAAACCAAAGAATGAAAACAGATATTTGCAATATACATATCCAACAGAGGTCTCTTTATCCAAATATATAAAGAGTGCTTACAAATCAATAAAGGAAAAGACAAGCAACAAAAGAGGAAAATAGCTAAGAGACTTCAACAGGATTTTCACAAAGGAAGATATACAAATGACCAATACACATGCAAAAGTATGTTCTTTCTGTTAGTAATCAGGAGGAAGTGAAGTTAAAACCACAGTGAGATACCACTGCATACACATACAAACGGCTAAAATGAAAAAGACTGAAAAGAGTAAGAATACAAGAAAGAAACTTGCATAAAATGCTGGTAAAAATATAAATTGGAACAGTAGTTTAGGGAAAAAATTTGGCATTATCTCATTTGAAAAGATACATATAGTTCATATTACCTAGCAGTTCCAACCAGAAAAAAAAAAAAATGTGTGTATGTATTATTCATCAAGAATACTTGTAACAGCCAGGCGCGGTGGAGCATGCTTATAATCCCAGTGGTTCAGGAGGCTGAGGCAGGAGGATCACGAGTTCAAAGCCAGCCTAAGCAACTTAGCGAGATCCTGTCTCTAAATGAAATATAAAAAGGGCTGGGGATATGGCTCAGGGATTGAGTTCCCATGGGTTCAATCCCCAGTATAAAATAAATATAATAATAATAATAATATTCATAACAGTATTACCCATAAATAACCAAAACCATCCAAACAGACTCTCCAAATGTCTTATCAACAGAATGGATAGGTAAATGATTGTACATTCATATTATGGAATGTTGAAAGCACTGAAAAAAGAATTACTTATAGAAGATTTGTCATAAATCTCAAAAAAAAAAAAATCCAAGGGTAAAAGAAGCCAGATCTGAGAAAACAATTATACTGTCTGATTTGATTTTTATAATGTTCAGAAATTGATAGAATTTAATCAAAGGTCCAGGGATGCATGGTTGGTGGTAAAACTAAAACAGTAAGGAAGTGATAACCAAAAAAGGAATGTGATTACTTTCATGGGGGAGAGAATGGAAACTCTAAGGAGGCGGGTGTAAGATGGGCATTGGCAATGCCCTATCCCTTGCTTCTGTGGTGCTACTGAAAAACCAGCCTCTACCTCAGAGCAAAGCCTGTCCAAGGAAGGGACATGACCTTTGTCCTTGAAAAGACCCACAGAGCACTCCAAGGCACATTCCCACCCTGCTAAGTGGTTTATCTACAAATAACAGGAGAGATCTGCTGCACCAGGTGTCCCTGACTCAGTCAGGCTAGGTGGGGATCCATAGCAACCCGCTAGCAGCCACCAATCAGCATGAGACAGGGAAATACCTGGGATGCCAGATGACCCTCCCAGTAGTTTATGGTGTTGGGAAACCATGTAGTTCAGCATGTACACCCCTTTTGGCTTAAACCAATCAGTTCAAATGAATCCCCCTCTTGTAGTAACCAATCACCCCTACCCAACTTGTTCCCGCCAGTGAATGTGCTAATCATGTTTTAGAGTTGTTATTTGATTTTCCCGCTGTGTGTGATGATTTGCTAAGAGATGCTATGATGTATGTGGGGGTCCCTGCCTTCTCCAAAGAATGTATAAAACTGCTGCAAACCCTGGGCTCAGGGCCTCTCAGCGTCACCAGTTGCTGTGTGTGCGCGCGGAGGACCGAGCTAACTCGCAATAAACACCTCTTTGCTGTTTACATGGATCTTGGTCTCTGGTGGTCTTTTGGGGGGTCCCAAATTCGAGCGTAACACTACATGGTTGTTGGCTTCAGCTAATCCCTTATGAAGTGTATTTCTGTTTCATGTGCTTTATTGTATGGGTATTACAAACATGATAACAAAATGTTTGAAGTCTCAATTATCTCGTGTTTGCCAGCAACAGTTCTCAACTATAAACAGGCTGCTTGTGGGGAATGGTATGAATAAAGGACTCTTGGAATTACTGTACACATGCAAGTGCTAT